CGCAGAAATTGTCTGATCTCTAACCAAATGCTTCAAACAACAACTCAAGTCAGAAAATGCCTAAATTTAAGAAAAAATTTCTTAAAAACTTTGTCAATAGGAACGTGTTTTTGAGCTACGAAGACATCCAATAGACAAATAAACAACAGATGTGTAAATTGTAAATACTTAATGTTTGTCGCAAAAGCAACATCTCAAAAATTGAAAAGCTAACCGTTAGGGTCCGATTCATGAAACTGACACTTTTCGAACTGCTCATACGACAAACAACCGGAGCCTTCAGGTTTAATTAAGCCGTCATCAGCCTCCTGAAAGTATTATGCAATTTTCCAGTAACATGAATTGAAAATGCTTTGTTGCCTCGCCTCTGCTCCAAAACTACCTAACTATTCAGTTTGGCTTCAAACAGAACAGTAAAACCATTTCAATAATTTACAATAAAAAAAAAACAAAAAAATTCATTTTTTAGAAAAAAATTTTGATAATTCTCATTTTGACTATTTCTTTTTCTTCTTTCGCCTTTTCACCTTATCGTTCTTTTTTTTCTCTTTTTTTGCTCTCTTGTCTGTCGAAAAAGAAGAATAAGTTTGCAGATTTACCGAAAAACATCCAAATATGAGGACAACAGAAATGTATGGAAATAACTAAAAGCATTTATCAGAATCTGCATAACATAAGGATGGCCTTTTGTATAATTCAGCTCAGAAAAACAGTTTATTAAGTGTTGGTTATGCAAATTCCAACTACTTCGCACAAATCAAGTTATCTTACTTTGGAAAGATTCAGTAAGCCCTCGACAGCCAAAGATGTCCAAAAATAACCGTTTTAGGCACCTGTGACACAAAAACACACACACACACAAAAAAAAAAGAAACAACTGATATCTTTTTTCTCTTCCGCTTAATGGTTTTATAGACTGTTGAAATGAAAAAAAAAGAACAAATTATTCAATATTTTTTTTAACTTCTGAGCTCTCCGATTACCGGGGATAGAGGCCACTTAACAGGAGACAACAGCAACACCACCAACAGTCAGTAACAGCTACAACGTCCACTCCATCAGCATCATCATTGACAACAGTAAAAGCAGGCAATCAGATACCGTTAATTCATCAGTCTTTTTTTCCTTCTGTTTTTTTTTTTTTTTTTTT